ATAGATGTAAGAGTAATTGTATACATATACACATTGGTATGGAATGATTTTTGACGGTTTAGGTTGGTTTATGCTTGTAGGTGTTGTGGATTTGGTATTGTTAAGCCTTACAGACTGCTATATTGCCTCAAGTTTGGGTTTCAAAATTTCCTTTTCTACAGTAGTGTTGGGGTTTCTGGAGTGGGGATTAGAAATAGATTTGCAATTTTATGTCTTCCACCTTTAGATTGAATTACCTAGAGAGATTGGGTTCTTATTAACCTTTGGATTGCGAGCTGTTGATATTTATTGTAGAAAGCTTTGTGGCGTTGTAAATTTTCAGATAACGTTAATTGAAAATGAGTGTTATAGCTTATATGTGAAGCCAATCGGCCATTAAACCAAAACATTTATGCCAAAGATTTTAGTGTCGGCTGTACTTAATACGCCTCTTTCTGTAATCAACGAATTTGTGTTCAATTAGGTATTATGGTAAGTGATAAAAAGGTCTTACTCTCCTTTATGCCTGCAGGCTCTTGCAGGAGGTCCCTTGATACAAGCCCGCAATTTTGCTGTCATGACTGGTGTCAATGCTGGAATTTCTTGTGTCATGAAAAGACTGAGAGGCAAGGAGGATGTTCAATCTAGGCAAGTTTACTCAATACATCATCCCTTTGTACTTGTGATATGCGTGCATGTGAAACTAGAGACAGGTGGGAAAAGGCACATTAATAAAGAAAAGACTGTGAATCAACAGATTCAACACCTTATTTACCTAAAAGTAGGCATTTTGATTTTGTGCACTTCTCTTTTTTCTCGTGTCTCTTCTCATCTCTGTGCATTCAGGAAATTAGCATTTTTGTGAAGTTATAGATTTTTTATGGGTGATGATCATTTGATATTAACCTATAAAGTTTGCATATTACAATTTTCAATGAAATTCTTTGTTAATATTTAGTCACGTGAACAAGTGTCTACATCCTGCTTCCTGGATGGTATTCTTGCGTATGTTCATACACGGGTGTTCATTCGTATGTCCAAAGATGATTGCTTGACGATGCCTGATACAATTTTTTTAATTTTCTCATGAATATTCAGCAATTGCATGTAGTGTTGTGGTTGGTATCATAGAACATTAAAAGTTACAGTAGCTTCGGCATTTCTCAAAACATGACTGTTCTGTTTCTGTCATGTTATGTAATAGTTTTATCTAACTAGGATCCATTTAATCTTCTGAGTTGTTGAACAAGGTATGTATAGTGATACTGTAATATGCTTAGCACATAGCAGCTTCAAATGGGTTCACTGAAAGAGCATATGTATCCTCAGAATGATTTAAGTGCATGTTGATGGATCTTCCCCTTTTTGCTTCTTTCTTTTTGATGTTGAATTGCAATTGCTAGTCTCCCATAGATGCTTGCCAAAATTTTAATTTCTGTGGCAGTTTCACATAATCCAACCAGCCACCTTATTTCTTCTTTCTTCCATTTTTATAAAGTAATAACAGGTGCATGTCTACTAAACACTAGAACCAATATAAAGGAGTAAACTTCGTAGCACGGACACATCAACTAGGGTAGCATGTACGTGTCGGACATGTGTTGGACTCACGTCGGATATCGACACCTCTCGGACACTCTACCATAGTCATTTTTTTAAATTAAAATTATTATATTTTTAACTTAAAATTATTATTAAATAACAAATAGGTACTTATATTTAAAAGATTTCAACAGAAAAATTAGTAACTAATACTCTAATATAAAATTAAATTTATACTATATAAATGAAGAATTTTAAAGAATTTAATCAACGTGTCGATAACGTATCGTGTCAATATTTTTTCAAAAAATCATGTGTCGACGTGTCGGACACTTGTCCATGTCGATGTTTCATAGTTGGCAAGTTTTATATTAGAAATATTATATATTGTTAATTCAAAATTATTAGCAAGTAACAAATAGGTATTCATATTTAAAAGATTTCAACAAGAAAAATTAATAACAAGTATAAAACTAAATTTATACTATATAAATGAAGAATTTTAAAATAATTTAATCAATGTGTTGACTATGTGTCATGTCAATACTTTTTTGAAAAATTACGTGTCAACGCTTGTGGGACACACGTATCTGTGTCTGTGCATCATAGGGAGTAAATAAGAGAATTTGATCTAAAGGATTTTTGTTATCGGGAAGAACTTTTATGCAACTATGGTCTAGATTTCAGATTTACACCAATGAATATGTATGTATTATTAGGAGGGAAATGACCGAGTCAATCATGCTAGTTGAAAATTTGTAAACTTGTCCAAGTTACACGATTGACGCCAGTATACACTCCACGGATTTTGCTTATCTTTTATGATCTGATTATTTCTCCTTGCACGAACATTTGCATTTCAGCCTTTTATATTTTGATGCTATTCTTTTACATTTTCATTTCTTCGATTTTTCTAGCCATGTTTGTCGTTTTTCTTGAAATTGCTGATTGACTGCTTTCAATGCTTGCAGTATGGTTGCAGCTTTTGGTTCTGGGGCCATGTTTTCATTAGTAAGTGGGGTGGGTGGGCCAAACCAGGCAATGAACACTGTTACTTCTGGTCTTTTCTTTGCACTCGTTCAAGGTGGACTTTTCCAGGTAATTGTTAAGTGGAGGAGACCGTGGCTTTTAATTGCATTCAGGCCCCTTCATCTCATCTCCAAGTTGCCAAATACAATCTGGGATGTGAACACGCTATGGTCAAAAACAATTCTTTGATGCATTTATACTCCCGATTTTCCATTCCTTTACCTTTCTATTTTGCTTAGCTTGAAGAATTTGGTTTCCATGGTCTTTTAACCAGTTTTGGACATGGAATACAGATCTTGAGAAGGATAGAGATATTTCTTTCCAGATAATCACATTATAGATTTTTTTATTTTTTTTTGGGCATCTCTATTTGCTAATGTCCTTGAAAATTAAATATTGGTCGATGCAGCTAGGACACAAGTTTTCACAACCACCAGCTGAAGATGTTCATTATTTGAAAACAAAATCCATGCTGAGCAGCCTTGGCCTGCAGAACTATGAGAAGAATTTTAAGAAAGGATTGTTGGCAGACAACACTTTGCCTTTGCTGAATGATAGGTATGTTCGCAAATTTAGAGCAAATTTTTTAAGCGTTATAAATTCACTTACAAGTCGATCTTGAAAATAAATTACTTATTTAGGAAATAAGGTAAGAGTATTTCAAAATAAAAATGGAAGAAATATGTAAATTATCCAAACATGCTTGGAAACGAAAAGTAGCTTGACTTCTACTTATTTTTAACCTTAGCCAAACATGCTCTTAATGAGTTTAATTGTTATGCATCGTGTTTGTGCATATCAGTGATTTCTTTTTATTTGGCATTGTGATTTCAGTGCTCTCAGAGATGTGAAAATACCTCCCGGACCAAGGCTTCTTATTCTTGATCATATAGAGAAGTACTACCTGTGATTTACCCTTAATATTATGAATTTTGATAACATGAAGACGCTGAAATTGAAATTGTATTTCACTCGTGTGTCTGCAGGGATCCAGAGCTGAAAGGAAGGCGAAAAGGTAGCCATTGAAGTACTGCAACTAAAATCATTCTGTAATTACGGTTTTTCAATAAGATAGTTTTCATTCTTCTAAATGAAGAGACGACAACAATTTTGTCATGGTACTATGTTGAGTGGTGGAATGCTGTCTTATACTTGCATTTTCGACTTGGTAAAGGTTCTTTTATTTACTTGGTAAGGGTCGATGTATGGGTGGAGAGATCCTTTGGGTATTGTGAGTTTTTAATTTATTATTTATTGTTTTTTCAGCTTTTTTTTTAAATATGAAATTATCTAAAAAGACCCATGTGGGGGCAGTTGCACAGGCTGTGGGTCCAGAGGGTCAAGTACAATTTGGCCCACCTTTATAGAGCCTGGACCATACATGGGAAATAGATGTGTTTCCCAAAAAAATTTGAAGTCGTTTACATAAAAGTATTAGATATTAGTAAACTAAAGTGGAAGCTTGGAGTCATTCAATCTTCAAAAGTGATTTAGCCCATGTTTGTTTGACATTATTTTTACATAAAAATGAGTTTTTTGACCCTTTTTTCCAAATTTATGGGTCCCACCATGAGAGAGATTGGTCAAAAATGGTGGTTAAATCCCTCCCCAATGGCCAGATTTTTCCTTAAAATGGCAAACAAACAGGGGCTTAAAGTTCTCGGTCTCTTAAGTCTTTTTATCTAACTTATGACAAATATATTAAAGCCTTGTTTGAGTCACATTTTTATAGAATGAAAATGAAAAATACAGTCGTTATTGGGGTTCACACAAAAGATAGAAAATTTGAATTTAAATGTTGATGTGATGGATAACGGTCATATTTTTCATTTTAATGAGATAAAAAGGTGGCCCAAACGGGACAGGATTGACAAACAAGTTATCCATTTTTCATTTTCACTTTCATATTTTTCATTTTAATAAGAAAATAAGATAGTCCAAACGGGGGCTAAACAATCTTACACTCGGCATATTGAATTTGGACCGACACAATCTCACATCATCATTTACATTTCACACATTCAATCCAATCATTATAATACTTCCACGTCATCAATTGTCAATCAAGATGTACAAATAGCATCTTATAATAAATCTCGACATTAAAGTTGCGTTGGACATTCACACGACCCAAAACTAAAATGCAAAATCATCAAATCGTTTGACATTTCTTCAATTTTATTGAAAGTTGTGTGAAGGATGCTAAGAAAGCACTTCGCGCAAAAGAGAATAATAGAGGTGCTTTATCTGGATATCTCGAACTCAAGTAATCGGTTCTCTGCCACAAGGTATGAAAATTTAATTCAATATCAGGAATGCAGAAAATCATGTTAATGCAAAATGAGTACAAATAATTTTAATATATATGTTTATTTCTTTCAGAAATTTTATTACATGATCCTCAACAAATATCTTTAATTGTGATAACAATACATCATGAATCTTACACCTTATGCTTCACTTTTCTCCTCAGATTTTGGAGGAGCAGCCTCGACTTTTGATTTCTCGGATGCTACAACAGTTTCTGCTACCTCTTTTTTCTCCTCCTTGGCCACCTCTACCTCCTCTGCTGGTTTCTCTGCCTCGACCTGCACATTTTCTTCAAGAATCGGTTTTGCCTCAGTTGCTGGGGTCACTTCCTCGATTTTCGCAACCTCTGGAGCTGGTTCAGAAAGTTCTACTAATGGTTCTTCCTTAGTCTCATCATCTTTCTTCTCCTGCAATTATTGATATAAGAAAACAACAACATAAACCTTAGCTTTCCAAGAATTATTATTCAATCTAGTTTAGGATCATCTGCTTTGTCTGTTGCTGAATTGATGTCGACTATAATCCCTAGCTTTCCAAGAATTATAACTCAACCGAAAATAAGAGACTTGATTTCAACTCATTGAGATAGGGATAAGCAAAAGAGAAATTCTTGCTGTGATTACCTGTGGAACGGTCTCAGTCTCCTTCTCAGGTGTGGCCGGTGCTTCAACAGGGGCAGGTGCCTCGTCGAGATCCAAGTCCTTGGGTTTGCCCGCACAGCCTCCCATGATGTTATCTAGATTGGTGGGAAGATTGAGCGAGCAGAGAACTTGATAACGAAGTAGAGAAACTTCGAAACGAAAAACGGAACGAACTTGGTTACGAGGCTGAAATGAAAATCAGCCAAAGCAAGAGACTATATAGAGGTGGATAGCAATCTACCTGTTTGCTAGTTTTAAGGTCTTTATTACAACATGCATACATGTTTGTGGACAACCTGTGTATTGACGTTATCAAAGGCATACCATGTTTTCCTCTGGCAATAATGTGGGAGTTTTCTTCTATCTTTATTGAGGAAGTGGGAGGCCTGTTTTTAAAAGTTAGTTATGACAGTTAAAAGAATATTCTCGGTGCCAGCGTTTTTGTCACAATATTATGCCTGTTTGGTAGGACTAAAATCCAGATTTTAATTTAAATCAACTACATATTTTATAGGATCTACAATTTTTCAACTACACATTTTATCAATTTTTATCAAAATTTAGTAAAAATCTGATTTAAATCCCCCACCAAATAGAGATTATGAGCTTGTTTGGAAAGGATTAAAATTGAAAAAGTAGCCGTTATTGTTGACTTTTATTAGACGGGTGGGATCCAATAACAGCTATATTTTCAATTTTAATTGGATTAAAATCATTCTCAAACAAGCCCTATATATATAACCTCAAATCACCCTAGTGAATCAGAAA